AGTTTCAGACTCAGTCTTTCCAGTAATTTTTTTTTTTTTTTGGTGTGTATTTACCAAGAAAATCCAGTGAATATTTAGAATTCATTTCCTTTAGGATTGACTGGTTTGATCTCCTTGCAGTTCAAGGGACTCTCAAGAGTCTTCTCTAGCACCATAATCGAAAGCATCAATTCTTCAACCCTCAGCCTTCTTTATGTATGGTCCGCCTCTCATATCCACATGTGACTACTAGAAAAACCATAGCTTTGATTATATGGACTTTTGTAAGTAAAATGATGTCCTTGCTTTTTAATATGCTATCTAGGTTTGTCATAGCTTTCTTCCAAGGAGCAAATGTCTTAATTTCATGGCTGCAGCACTGTATGCAGTGATTTTGGAGTCCAAGAAAAGAAAATCTTTCACTGTTTCCACTTTTTCCCCTTCTTTTTGCCATGAAGTGATGGGACTGGATGCCATGATCTTAGATTTTTCATGTTGAGTTTCAAGCCAGCTTTTTAACTCTCCTGTTTCCCCCTCATCAAGAGGCTCTTTTGTTCTTCCTCACTTTCTCCCATTAGAGTAGCATCTTCTGCATAACTGGAGGTTGTTGCTATTTCTCCCAGCAATCTTGAATCCAGCTTGTGCTTCATCTACCCTGGCATTTTGCATGATGTACTCTGCATATAAGTTAAATAAGCAAGATGACAATATATAGCCTTGTGTTCTCCTTTTTCAATTATGAACCAGTCAGCTGTACCATCTCCAGGTCTGTTGCTTCTTGACCTGCATACAGGTTTCTCAGGAGACAGGTAAAGTGGTCTGCTATTCTCGTTTCTTTAAGAATTTTCTAGTTTGGTGTGATCCACACAGTCAAAGACTTTAGTGTAGTTCAGTGAAAAGAAGTAGATGTTTTTCTGGAATTCATCTGCTTTCTATATCATCCAACAAATTGACCACAGCCTTGTCGTGGTGAAGGGGCTTGTGTAACTCAATGAAGTTCACGACCACCTAAGATGGATGGGTCATAGTGAAGAGTTTTGAAAAACTGTGGTCCACTGGAGGAGGGAATGGCAAACCACTCCAATATTCTTGCTGTGAGGACCCCATGAACAGTATGAAAAGGCAAAAAGATATGACACCAGAAGATAAATCCCCCAGGTTGGAAGGTGTCCAATATGCTACTGGGGGAGAGTGAAGGGCATTTATTAGTAGTTCCAGAAAGAATGAAGAGGTTGGGCCAAAAGAGGAATGATACTCAGCTGTGGATGTTCCTGGTGGTGAAAGCAAATCTGAAGCTGTTAAAAAAAAAAAAAGAATATCACATAGGAACCTGGAATGTCAGGTCTGTGAATCAAGGTAAATTAGATGTGGTCAAGCAGGAGATGGCAAGAGTGAACATCAACATATTAGGAATCAGTGAACTAAAATGGATGAGAATGGTGAATTTAATTCAGAGCACCATTATATCTACTACTGTGGGTAAGAATCCTTTAGAAGAAATGGAGTAGCTGTCATAGTCAACAAAAAGTCCAAAATGCAGTACTTGGGTGCAATCTCAAAAATGACAGAATGATCTTGGTTCATTTCCAAGGCGAACCATTCAATATCATAGTAATGCAAGTCTATGCCCTGACCACTAATGCTGAAGCTGAAGTTGACCAGTTTTAAGAGGATCTACAAGACATTCTAGAACTAACACCAAAAAAAGAAATCCGTTTCATCACAGGGGATTGGAATATAAAAGTAAGAACTCAAGAGATACTTGGAGTAACAGGTAAATGTGGCCTTGGAGTACAAAATGAAGCAGGGCAAAGGCTAACTAAGAGTTTTTCAAGAGAACACACTGGTCATAGCAAACAGCCTTTTGCAACAACACAAGAAACAACACATGGACACCAAAGTGTCAGTCCCTCAGTCATCTACAACTCTTTGCAACCCCTTGGACTCTAACCCACCAGGCTCCTCTGTCCATGGAGTTCTCCAGGCAGGAATACTGGAGTAGGGAGCCATTCCTTTCTCCAGGGAATCTTCCTGACCCAGGGATCAAAGTCAGGTCTCCTGATTGCAGGTGTATTCTTTACTGTTTGAGCCACCAAGGAAACCCCTACACATGGACATCACCAGATGATCAATGCCAAAATCAGACTGATTATATTCTTTGCAGCCAAAGATGGAGATGCTTTATATAGTAAGCAAACTCAACACCTGGAGCTGACTGTGGCTTAGACCATGAGCTCCTTATTGCAAAATTCAGGTTTTACTGCTTTCTTCAATCTAAGCAAGGTAGGGAAAGTAGGCCATTCACTGTGCTTACCACCACCCTCAATCCCTCTGGCTTAGCTGAATACACTCATAGCACACTGAGATTCAGTCAGCAAAATTTCTTTCTAAATCCCAGGTCCACCCCTTTTGGAACTCATATAAAGCTCATCCCTCTTAAAAAATATTTATTCATTTACTTTGCCGTACCTGGTCTAAGTTACAGCATGTGGGGCCTTTGATCTTGTGGCATACGGGATCTTCAGTTATGGCATGCAGGACCCAAGAGTTTGCATGTCACAATTAAATCATTCCAAATGTCACAACTAAACTCTCACCCTCTAAGACAGTCACAAGACATCCAATGCACCTGGTTACTTCCTCTTTGGACCCAAAACTAACAAAAGGAGAGATACTCCAATATTGCAAAGGCCTAGTTGTTTCCATTAAGAACAACCATGAAGAACATGTCTCCATGAAGAACAACTATGCCTTGGTAGAGGAAACCTTTTTACAACATACCCTTGAGAGGTGATGACCTTAAGCATCATACCTTGCACCTGGAGATTTGCCTACTGGAAGATATACTTCCAGAAGAATGCTCTTTCACCTCACTGGAGAGGCCCCTATCATGCACTGATAACTAGTCCCTGCACTATCAAACTCCAAGAAATAGACTCCTGCATTCACAGTACACAGCTTAAGAAAGCACGGAACCCCAACTAGTCATGCACATCATCTGGTGACCTGAAAGTAAACACTTCCTGGAAATGAAGTTGATGACATCTGATAAGATGGCTTTCCCTAGATACCTAGACCAGGCTTGTTAGAAGTTTGTCACCAAATCTTTGATGATGGTGATACAACACTTCAGATGATCTCTGATGTCTACAAATCTTGATAACATGTGGACTTTAGATAAAAACTGCCTAAGATGTCTCCCTCCTACCCCTCCTTCTTACTTGAATGCAACTGCAATAGTTCTCCGACCTGCACCACTTTCCTTCGGACAATGATGGACAAAAACTGCTGAAACCAGAAACCCTGATTCTTAATCCGTGATGTTTTCAGAGAAAGATCTTAATCAAAGGGGAAAATGTAAAACAATTCAGAAACAGAAATTAAATAGTGTCAGGAGACCCCTTTAAGGGGGAGCTGTCACACCCTGCAACTATAGTAGAGCCCAAGAGGAAGAAGAAAGGCCCCTCTTCTTTCCTGCCAGGGACTCAGCCAATGACAAGCCATGAACCTGTATTTCCTGCAACCCTTACAACTTACTTTCCTCTCTATTAAAGTGTTCTTATTGCCACATGGGAATCTGTATGTGGCCTGCCATGCTAGCAGACCCCAAATTGAAATTCTCTCATAATACTGAAAAAATGTACTTTAGTCGGACAATTATATGATGATGTATTTCAGGTCAACATATGTATACATTAGCATACATATATTTAAAATCTATGCATATACTACCCAGATGATTTATTTCAAAGTTGGCTTTAAAATCATACACCTTTATAAACACATATGTACATACAAATAAACAGTATACTCAATACTTGTGTAATACCTATCAAATACCAAGTGGATACTGCTGCTCCTATGTAGATATATTGTTTTAAACATATGATTGATAATCTAAATGTAAAGCATTTCAATATCATTATCTTGTGTAATGTATGTTTAATAAGAATAAAAACAGCAGAAGAGGAAAAAAATTCTTGAATTTTCTGGAATGAAATATTTTAAAAGAAGACTGACTATGCCATTAATGAACTTAGTTTATTAATTCCACTTACTTACAAAGAAATTTATTACTGATGGGTCTATACCAGGTAAATACTTAGGCATAAATATAACAAAAACAATTCTTACATGAGACCAACAACATTCAGTTTAGGCTTTGAGGTGGGGATAAACATAAAAACAACTGAACTAATAAAAAGTATTGGAATTAAACTTCACAATAAACTTTTCACATAGAAATACCTTTGCAGCAGATATTAATGCTTCTTTATTTTTTTGCCTTTCTTCCTCCAAACATTTTTCCAATATTTCCTGTAAATGATAAGACAGTTAGACATTATAGTATTATTTGCAACAGAACATTCTTTCCACACTCTAAGCAAAATTAAAATATTACCTTCTGTTCTTGAGATTGCTGAGCCAAAGCTTCCTTTATTTTTTCTTTTAACAGTTCCTTCTCTGTGTCAAGCATTTCAAGGAGCCTCTGATGCTACAAGGAAAGTTAACAGCATTAAGATTATGGCTCTGAGATAGATAACCTATCAACACGGAGAAGAGCTGGTGGAATTCATTTGAAGTAGTTACCAGGGGAAATAAGAAAGTTGGCTAAAATGAGGGCTTAGGAGCCAAAAAATCTGAATTCCCATATCTTTCATCAGTCAAGACATACTCTTTTCATCCCCAAATTTAGTATAGCAGATGACATGAAATCTAATTTGAAAGATATTCCAAATATGAAGTGAATCAGAAAATGATAAAATGTCCTTTTCCAAAATTAAACTTTGAAAATACACTCATTAAAATTATTATTATTAGCTTGCAGTGAGAGCAATCAGATTATAACTGATGTCTGCCTGGTGAAAAATCATCCTAACAGAATATTTGTGTTTCTAGTAAAGTACTATTAAAGAAATGAAAAGATCATTAGTCCCATTCTAAGATTTTACTACAAATTCAAAAATAAATAAATAAATCTATGAAAGTAGTCAAAGGACTATTATTGTGATAGCTAATGTTAAAGAATACAGAGTTCATGTATTCATTTTTATTCAACCATAGTAGTAAAAAAGCACACAGAGTCATCATCACATTATCATTATTCAAACTTGGGAGTTTGAATGAAGTTTTGTTGAGAAAATTTGACCTCTATGACCTCAACACCTTCAATATAGATAAGCCAGATACTTGTTCTGAACAGCACTCTCAGGGAAAGCAAAACATATGTATTCCCATTCACACAGATTTCTCCTCAGTTACTAAAGGCAAATAAGATATTTTCTCAGATTTAGAATGCTATTTACATAAAAGCCTCCTTTAAATATGAACCAATTTCTGATACCCAGTATTTTAAAACAGATCTATGTCATTCAAAGTTGTTCTGATTTAAAATAGCTCTTAGGCAGGTAATCTAAGTTGAGAGTAAGTGACCAAATAGTTAAGATAATCTATGATTCCTATTTTTAATTGTAATGCTTTTATCTTAATTTTTCAAGACAATAAGAAAAATTACAAGAAAAATGTGATTTTTCTTTAAAAACAAATCTAAACTGCGATATAAATCATGACACCATGATGAAAAATTGTTGGTATCCTATGAATTTGTGGAAATCATTTGATTAATAAATCAGTAGGCCTAGCATATGATATATAAAGACTAAGACTTAAACGTTATATTCTTTGAAAGTCTAAATGAAACAACATCTAATACTCTTTACAAAACACACATGATAAAATGTTTAACCAGGCAAATAATTAGACACAAAAATGGTAAATACAATTCTCACTTGAGACTGAAAATATTCAATTTAGGCTTTGAGATGAGGGTAAACATAGCAAAAATGGAACAAGTAAAAATTACCAGAATTAAACTACAGAAGAAATTTTTAAAAGTCATCAATAATATTGAAAGTGATTTCTCCTTAAAATGAACAGTTAATAAATCAGACTAATGGAAATCAGTAAGTAATTAACTATAAGTAGGCCACGTTTCTCTGATGCTTCTCTTGTGGCACAGTGATAAGGAATCCACCTGCCAACACAGGAGATGCGGGTCCAATCCCTAAGTTGGGAAGATTCCCTGGAGAAGGAAATGGCAGTCCTCTCCAGTACTCTTGCCTGAGAAACTCCATGAAAAGGGAAGCCTGGTGGGCTACAGTTCATGGGGGTCACAAAGAATTGGACAAGACTTAGTGACTAAACAACAAAGAAGCCACATTTCTCCAAGGATCCAACAAGAACTAGTAAAAGACGATATAGTAGCTAAAAATGACAATGCAAGGATTAGAAAATTCGTTTGTAAACTTCATTTCTTAATTTTGAAGTACACTATAATAAAACATTATTTTTGAGCTTTTTTGGGCCAAAATAAACCCAGGATAATCATTTGAAAGAAGCACCCTACATAAAATACACCATAAGTTAAAATTATAGCCCTACTGGAGAAAATACAAAGTAACTACCGTGTGTGTGTGTGTGTGTGTGTGTGTGTGTGTGTGTATACATATACACATACATATAAAATAATAGCTAACATTTTTGAGCACTTTACAGTTTCAGACACTGTTATGAGTGTTTTACATGTAACTGTACCATAAAAAACACAAGAACCTGCTAAACTGAACGACAGTCTTCCTCATTTTCAGACTGAGTTATGTAAGACACAGAAAGGCTAAGAAAATTTCAGGTCTTGAAGGAAGAGCTTCAGCAATAATAATATCTATATACTCAATTTCAGCAGTAATAATCATTTAATAGCTAAAAGCAGTGTCAGTATCACCTAGTTACTAAATCTACATGATGTAAGTCTTATAACTGGTAAGACCTCACTTCCATTTGGCTTTAAAAGGATTTGAAAAATCTGCTTTTGATTTTGTTTTTTTCAGAATAATATTAAAAAGATTCTTTGAATAAATATCCCTTGTATTAGGAAAGATGATTGAAAAAGATATTGAATAGTATGGGAGAAGGTCAGTTTTCACTCCAATCCCAAAGAAAGGAAATGCCAAACAATGTTCAAACTATAGGACAGCTGTACTTATTTCACACGCTAGCAAAGTAATACTGGAGATCAGTGCAGAAATAACTCCAGAAAGAATGAAGGGATGGAACCAAAGGAAAAACAATACCCAGTTGTGGATGTGACTGGTGATAGAAGTAAGGTCTGATGCTGTAAAGAGTAATATTGCATAGGAACCTGGAATGTTAGGTTCATGAATCAAGGCAAACTGGAAGTGGTCAAACAGGAGATGGCAAGAGTGAAAGTCGACATTTTAGGAATCAGCGAACTAAGATGGACTGGAATGGGTGAATTTAACTCAGATGACCATTATATCTACTACAGTGGGCAGGAATCCCTTAGAAGAAATGGAGTAGCCATCCAGGTCAACAAAGGAGTCTGAAATGCAGTACTTGGATGCAATCTCAAAAACGACAGAATGATCTCTGTTCGTTTCCAAGGCAAACCATTCAATATCACGGTAATCCAAGCCTATGCCCCAACCAGTAATGCTAAAGAAGCTGAAGTTGAACGGTTCTATGAAGACCTATAAGACCTTCTAGAACTAAAACCCAAGAAAAAAAAAAGTCCTTTTCATTATAGGG